AATGGGGCTGTTCAGTTTTATACCTACCACTTTCCTCACCCGAGGATGCACACACAGTCAAACCTCAGGACCAACTGGAGAGACAGGACATCATCCGGCACCATCTTGACATCTCTGCTGGCCTTGGCAGGTAGTTTAGGGCACAGACCAGCGTTCCTCATCATCAATGGTGGCAACTGGCTTCACAAGCACTCTTCTCTGGGTGAAAGCGCCTGTGTGCTTCTCCAAGAGCTTAACTCTCAGCAGTGGGATCCTGACGCCTTGTGCTCCCGTCCTCAGCCTTCTTCAGTGGCCCTGGGTTCCTGAGATGCAAAATGCCCATGCACAGCCAACCCTGTGCCCTTGGTCCTTGCCTTCTGGGCACACTCACTGTGCTCCCTACACCTCCTTGTTGGCTATGCCCCACCCAGGTGCTCCTTTGTGTTTTTCCTTCCTCTTCTACTAAAACCTAGTATATGGAAAGAAAATGATGTCATTGATTATACTGAGACATAGATCTTATGTTCCTTTTCAGATTTCCTTGGCTGCAGCCTCCTACTCCTCTTCCTCCTCCTCCGTCTCTTTCTCTTTTTGTTAGTGTCTCTACCTGTTCTACTTTCCCCCTCCACTTTTTTTTTTTTTTTTTAAAGATAGTGCTATGGTTTGCATATCTCCTCTAAAAATCAGGTGGAAATTTAATTGCCATTATAACAGAATTAAGAGATAGGACTTTTAAGAGGTGATTAGGCCCCAAGGGCTCTGCCCTCCTGAACGGCTTAGATGGATGCCTTTATCATGGGGGTGGATTAGTCATTGCGGGCGTGGGCTCCTGGTTACACGGTAATTTCAGCCCCTATTTTATCTCTGTCTCGCGCACTTGCTCACCACGCGATGCCTTCCACCCTCATCAGATGCCAATGCTGTGCTCTTGGTCTTCTCAGCCTCCAGAGCCGTGAGCCAAATAAACTTCTATTCTTTATAAGTTACCCCGTCTGTGGTATTCTGTTATAGCAGCAGAAAATGGACTCAGACAGATGGTAAGGCAGACTTTATTCAGGATGAACCTGGTAGGTACGAAGACTACTTCGATGAGGTTTTGCAGTCGGGGAGAGAGATTGGGCTTCCTGCCCCGCCACTTTCGGAGCTGAATAAAACACCACCATGTAAGGTGTGGGATCTGGCTGCCTGAGACGAGGGACTGAATTACATAATCTGGAAGTATGGGGGAGTAGCTCCCTTTGGGAGGAAACTTGACAAATGGGAGCGGAGAGACAGGAGGGAGCCTGACAGATTCCTCTCCTTTCTCCCTCCTGTGCACTATTCTGGGAGATGAGGTGTGCTTCTTGCAGTCATTCCAGAGAAGTCCCTTGTACCAAGTAAACATATCTGCTAAGCCCCTAGCTGTCCTCCTGGCTAGTACTGCCCAGAGTGAAAGCGCCTCCTGTGGAATCACTTCTCACCTTGACCTTCCTCACCTCCCTTTGATCTTTACCACCTGTCTCCTTGCCCAGTCCCTGCTTTTCGAGAAGACAATGGCCGAGACACCTCTTTAATTTTATTGAGAGATCAAGCTCCACCCACTCTCTTACTTCTCCTCCAAGCTATTTAACACATCTCTAATCGTGGCCTTTATATTTGTTAATCATTAAAGGAAGCAAAGGAGGAAGAGGAGGCATGAGTTAGGGGAGGAGGAGAGACAGGAGGTTTGTCTCTTGCTCCTAAAAGCTCACTCCATTGGCCTTCTTTTACCCTGAAGGGAAAATCTGTCATGCTTCTATCTATAGAGTTCCAGGCATTTTCGAAGCAGACAGGCTAGAATGCAGAAATTTCGGTGAGGTGGGATTTCGGGAGAATAATTTGGCAAACCTTTTCCAGGCTGAGCGCAGCTTGAAAAAGGCTCTTTTCTGTCTATTGACTAAAAACTTGCCCAGAAAGGAAAAATCATAGCCGGCATAGTTCAGCTGCTTCGAAGGACTTCTGTTCTCTCTCTCTTTTAAGACAATATAATCAATGAAAGGATTTGGAAAAAATGAACTACAGAGAGCATAAGGGGTCTTGAAGTGGGTTTTCATCTGCATCACTTCCATTGCGGAGGTTTACTTTTATTTGCCTTTCGAAAGATGGGGCTGTGTCAATAGCAGTGTTCATCCCATCAGTCAGGCTGATAAGCACGGAGGTGGGCTGTCCTTTCGCCTCTCCTGCTCAAGGAGCTGGAGTTGCACATGTGATATATGTGTTTGCAACAGGCTGCTGGGAACCAGTGATCAGCTTTCTGGCAGTATCTGGTAAATAAGAACGTCTCCAATGTGTAAATTGCAGAAATTGGCTTCTCCCACTACTCTTTTGCCAGGAAATGGGGAACGCACAGAGGAGGAAAACTGAATGCCCAGGGAGCATTCATTTTCATGTTACTGTATTTAGGTGTTGTGTTTGGTGAGTTCAGGAGAGACAGCAGAGGGGGCCGGACTAGAAGGAATGGGCTGGAGGTTGATTTGGTCGAGTCCCATGGGTCAGAGAAGGCAATTTCAGCCACTAAAGAGCAAAAATGTCACAGGATCTCTATCTACTTCCACATTTATGCAGACGGAAACCGCACATGTCCCAAACTGAATTCATCCTCTTCCCTCCAAAGCCTGTTCTCTTCCGCTGGCCCTTCTGTTGTCCAATTGCTCCAATGAGTGTAAGGAACCAAAGTCATTCGTGACTGTCCCTCTTCTTTATCTATAAATCTGATTAATAAATCTTATGAGTTTTATAAGATTATAGTATTTCTGGAATCATCTATCCTCCCACCTCCACTTTTCCATCTTAGTCCAAGCACCTGTCCCCTCTCACTTGGATGACTGCAATGGCCTCATTCTTGTTGTCTCCCAATCCATTCCTCAGCCTGCAAGAAAGTTCATATTTTTTAAGGCTAAAGATCATATTGTTATCCCTCTTGCTCTAAAGCCCTTGCATGTTTCCCATTGCCCTTTAAGTGTGGGCTCAAGTCTCAGAGTCCTTAACCATGATTTCCTAGGCCTTTCTCAGTGCAGTCCTGCCCTTACACACCCATTCCCACTCTCCTCCACTGCCTCCTGCTCCTGGGTGCCTTCAGGCCTTTCACGTGCCCACACTCATCTCAGAGCTTCTGACTATGTGGTTCCCTCTGCCTGATGTCAGGGTTCAGCACATGATACCCCAGAGTAGGGCTCCGTGGTATGCCGGGTACTTTGAACTGACAGAGATTAGAAGGACCTCAGAAACAAGGTCACTCTGACCTTCTCCTATCCTGCTTTCTCCCTCAAACAGGGCACAGAAACTAGAATTCCTCATCCCAAAGCAAGCCATAAGCCTGGGAAGGTCTCAGACCTTCTCCCTTCCCTGCTGAAAGTCCTCCTGCGACAGGTGTCCTGCCCTGTACCTGGCAGAGAGGCCTGTCTTACAGAGACACAGAAAAGACTGGACAAACAGGCCTTGCAGACCCCGCCCTGCCCCCGCCGCCTCCCAGTTCATTTCCATTAGATCAGACCCTTTTTTGTCCAGTCGTGTTTCTTCATAACCATGCACTTCTTTCTTCAGATCCTGCATAAAAATATAACTTTCTCTGGGTTTTGGGGTCTTTATTTCTGAAGCCTTCTTGTCACATAAAACTTTGTTAAGTAAGTTTGTTGTGTTTTCCTTGTGTTACAGTCTGTCTTCCATTATCAGGGTTGTCAGTCATGACCATATGACTGATAGATGAAGAAAAGGTATGACTTTTTCCACCCTACCCTGGGACAGCCCTTCCTTGCTCTGTTTCTTTCCTTCCATTGCACCAAGACTGGTGTCATTTATTTACCTATGTTTTTGTGTTTCTCGCTTGACTCAGCTCTATGGGGGAAGACATTATGTCTGTTTCGGTTCCCACTGCATCCCTAGCACGCAACACAATGCCTAGCATCTATTAAATGCTCTCTCTATAGCTATAGATATAGATACATAGATATAGATTATATAGAGATTATTCATAGAACATATATAGAATTAATGAGATTATGGTAAATCTGCTTTGGAATTATAAAGGCTATATAATACTGATAATTTTTATTTCTGCCTTCTAGCTCAGAAAAGGCAGGATAGAATATTCTATTATCATTTAAACTTGAGTGGAACTTATTTATATCTGTGTGTTGAGGCTTCCAGGTATTTGCATCTTAAGCTTTTTATTTATACCTGCAGAATGAAGGGATTTGTGCCTCTTTAAAGGAATTTCAGGCAATAGCCAGCAGGTGGGTTCATTAAGGAAGGAACAGAACACTTTCATCACTATTTTTATTTCTTTTTTAACAGTTTGGAAACTGAAAAACAAAGAGACAAGCAGCTGTGGGCAAAGGAAGTAGGTTGGTTGGTAGGAACGGGCTTTGGATAAGTTGCCTAGCTCCCTTAGGAGCGCTCTCCTCACCTCCACACCCACCCACAGGGGAGGAGGGGCTGCCAGCCTGCTGGGAAAGCTGCTTGGTAGAGTAGGAGGGGGCCAGGGCTACTGGCAGACATCCTGAGTTCAAACCTGCTATTAACCCTGGGATTTCCAGTAGTCGCTAATTTCTGCCTCAGTTTCCTTATTTGTAAAACAAAGCTCTAATCCCTGATCTCACAGGATTAGTGTGACGATTAAAGAGATAATGTATCAGAAAACTCCTGGCCAGATGCAGTGACTCATCCCCGTAATCCCAGCACTTTGAGAGGCCGAGGAAGGCAGATAGCTTGATCCCAGGAGTTCGTGACCAGCCTGGGCAACATGAAGAAACCCTGTCTCTACAAAAAATACAAAAATTAGCCAGGCATGGTGGCATGCATCTGTAGTCTCAGCTACTCAGGAGGCTGAGGTGCGAGTATCACCTGAGCCTGGGAGTTGGAGGCTGCAATGAGATTGTGGCACTGCATTCCAGCCTGGGCAACAGAGTAGGACTCTGTCTAAAAAAAAGAGAGACAGAGAGAGAGAGGGAAGAAATGAGAAGAAAGGATGGGAAAGGAAAGGAAACCCTTCATAAACTGCAAATATAAATTAAAGGTGGTATGATTATGCTACTAAACCAATCTTCCCAAATACAAAAATTAAGTCTGACTTTCCTTCACCGTGTGCTGCCCCCACCATTGTAACTCCACGGACATGATTGTGTGTCAAGACCAACACTGAGTATCTGCATTTCTCCCAATTCCGGTGGTCTGTAAACTCATAGGATGGGTCTTAGCCATTTGATGTCCCTAGTAACCTGTAGTGTCAGATGCTCAATATGCCTTGAATAAACATTGAGTGAATAAATGTAAGGTGGGAAGCATGGAGGAGGTAAGTCTGAAGGAAAAGGTGAAAAGGGAAGAGTGGGCTAGATTTCTAGAAAAATTTACATGTTCTTGGAAATCAGGAGGAACAATTAGAGGCACTGGATTAACTGGAGTGCACCTCCTTAAGTCTGTTGGCTCAAATGTCAACTCCCAGAATTCACTTGGAGTAGAGTGAGCTTCAGGGATGCTTAATTCAGCAAGGCTGAATTCAGCTTTGGAGGTCTTTCCTTAGTGGCGGGGAAGGAGTGCCCTGCTGAGCCACAGGGAGCAGTGATATATTAGAAATACCTAGATTTGGGAACCTTTCAAAAGATGCATGTCCTTGTCTCGTGCCCAAACAAAGCTGATAGAGCCAAAATTCAATGAAACAGTTCTTCCTAGTCCCTGGAAAAAAGCAAAACATCTATCCATCTATCAAAAATCTGCTAGGTCCCTGCTGTGTGCTGTGCTAGGTGCTGGAGTGCTGTAAAAGGAAACACACTTGAGGCCGATCGCAAGACTTCTCTTCCACTTGGAGGAAGCTCACAGGGGAGCCAGCACTGATGCAGGTCCAGGCCTGGGGAAAGCATATGCCCCTGAGACCCATCAAGCCTGTCCCTGCCATCTCTCTCCACCGTTCTAGCTTCACCCTAGCTTGTGGGTACCATGGGTACCTACTTCCAGGAACCCAGGGAACTCCTTTTGACCTTGCTGGGAAACTACAAATCACCAAACAGGAGCTTAGCTGTGCAGCCAACATTTGGAGTTGGAGCTACCCGATAGCTTTCTGGAGTCAACAAATAAGGAAATCATTTCTTTAGGATCAAAAAAAAAGAGTTATTTTGTTTTAGTAAAGGGTAATGGCACTCCATTGCGAATGGAAACTGTTCTCCCCTTGGTTTGAGCGGAGCCCATTTGTCAGCACTGCTTGAGGCCTGCGAAGTGACGATGTAGGTATTTTTCTCGAATAAAGAATGATCTGAGGACATCTTCCCCACTGGGTCCCTCTTACTCATGTGACTTCCAAGTTTTCAGGTGGTAAAGTTGGAGGCAGAGAGAGCATGCCCCTGAATTGGACAGCAGAGTGTCCTTCAACTGATAGAAGATCACTTCAGGGCAGGTGGAGCAGCCACAGAAGAAAATGGTAATTACCCAACTGCTCCTGTGCCTCATTTTGAATCTGTCCTGCTCTTCAGCTCTTTCTGCACATAAAGGAAGAGGCTCCTTGTCATTTGAAAAGATTGCACCAAAGTGGCAGTGTTGACAGAGCCTTCCCTGTCAGAGCCACTTTCTCAATACATTTAATTAGCAAGGGCTGCCAAGGGCCCCCTGCCAGCCCAACACAGGCCTGGATGACACCTGAGTGAGGTTGCCACAGTCCCAGCCAAGCTCCTTCAAGCTCCATTTTTAGATGTGCTACAACCAGCTAGCTTTCAGCGAGTTCCCCTCCCGCCCCTTTGCCCAATGCTGGTCAGCTGAGCTGCTTGACTGTGAAGCCTTTCTTTCCAGGCCATGGGGAAAGAACCAAAGGAAGCTGCTTTCTCTCATGCGTGCAGTATTTTTGAACAAAGAGGCCTGTATGCACTGCAACAACAGCGTCTCTAGATCCTGAGCATGGGCCCCGCTTGGCGGAGGGTCAGCAGTGTGGTGGAGGGCATGCATTGGAATACAGATTGCCACCAAGCCTCTGGGGCCATGCCCATCATGTGTCTGGGCCTGGCTCTGACAACCCGACATTGAGCTGCCAACAGCTTGCAGGCCTGTTTGCTGCATGGCCAGCATCCTGTTTGGTGATTTGATGAGAGTCTCAGGCTCTCTTTGCATATCAGAACGCTGGTCTCTGTGCACCTCGCATGGGATGACTGCATCTGGACAACTGAGATGTTCCTTGCCATTGATCAAATGCTCAGCAAGCTCAGAAAATACAGCTGGAAACTCCTTGGAGCCCTCCGCCTGCTGCTCTTCATTCACAGCTTCTCCCTGCAAAGTGGGGCTTTATTATTCTTGGAGAGACGCAGCTATCTGTTACAAGGTACTGTCTTGCAATAGGGTTGAAATACCTCAGAGTCTGATAAATATAAGAAATATTGAATGCCCCCTCCCTTTATGTTCTAAACAGTTACCACCCCTACAATCATAACTAGTGATGTCACTGTGGGACCGGTGTGGCTGAAATGTATACTTGCCCTTTTAACCCAGCTTTAATGCTTTTGTACAAGCTATTTGCAAAGTTACATAGACTCTTTAGTGTGAAGATTGGCTGTTTACTTGTATCTCACACACAGCAAAATCGAAAGCAGCACAAGTGTGTTGCTTTTCTACAATATCCGTGCATCCTTCATGCTCTCTCGGTCCTCACGTCCACTGACCTCTCCCTCTTCTCCCCATTCATCGGGCTCTGCCTGCCCTCTCTCCCTTCATTCTGGACTCAGTGGCTCATTCAGTCTCACCAGACACTCACAAAGCAAAATTCCAACCTGTCAACCTTTGTCTTGCTCTGTCTCTGAGACTGAGCACTCCCAGGGAAATGGACTCCCCTACATAGGCCAGGGCACTACAAGTTCATGGTCCCTGGCCTCTGCTGGGCCTCAGGGCTGCCCATCTCACCTTCACCTGTCCTGGAAGAGCTTCCTCTCATCTGCCTTAGGTGACCATTCCAAACCTTCTAGCACTCTCCCCAAAGCTCCTACTCAACCTTCTGTCTCATACTCAGCAGATAAACCTGTCTCCAACATCAAGACCATCAGGCCCAATGTCCCTCAACTTTCTACCCGCTTCCTACAAACACGTCTGCACCCACCCCATCCTCACCTTCAGTCTCTGAGGTATGTTCCTCTTTCTGTGTCCTTTGCTCTATCCTTTGATGTCTACTACAGACTTTGATAGTAATTTTTAAAAATTGTTTTCATCTCCCTTGACTATACTTGAGTTTGGTGCCCTGTATCTCCCTCTCACTGTTGCTCAGCTTCCCTCCTCCCATTCTCTTCCAAACTTCCTGCTTCCTACACGTCCATTCGCCCTTTCAGCTCTCTGGAATCTGGCTTCTGTTTCCACCCACCACATTCCTAAAACTGCTGTCACTAAGGTGACCACCAGCTTCCCTGATAGCAAATTGAATAGACTCGTTTCAATCCTTTCCTGACTAGGACTTTCTGTGGCATTTGAAAACATGGTTTACCTTCTTTGAAGCTTCCTGAGCCCTGAACTTCCATATGTTACGTTCTCGATTCTGCACTGCCCGTCTGCCCGGCCCGTGCCTGCTGTGCGCCTGTTGGTGTTCCCCAGGATTCTCTTCTAACTCACTGTTCCTCTTGCGCTGCCACACACACTCCCTGGAGAAACTCATCCTCTCTCGTGGGACATGCAAATTACTCTCAAATCCCTGTCTCCAATGGAACTCTTTGCCCTAGTTTCTCCCATAGGCAACACAAAGCCAGCACTCCCAAATGGCAGTGGGAACACAGTCATTTTCCTGTTAAACTGCCCACTCTCCCCACCTTGCTGGGCCCCGCTGCAGGGGTGGGGGTGCTGCTACTGCACTCCCCCCTCACTACATTCAACCACTTAATTGCCATGTCCTCCCAAATCTCTCTCCTAAGTATCTCCTAAAGGTCTCCCTCTCTCCCTGCTATCCTGCCTCCATCCACAGCTGCCTGGAGGCTTGCCCTATTTGCAGGCCTTACCATCTTCTTCCTAGCTGTGGCGTGTCCCCTCTGAATGGTGAAACTGGTGTTGCCAAGTCTCTGCTTCAAACCTTTTCATCGTCCCTCTACCACCACCTTAAGTCTGGACTCTATGCAGATCGTGGGAGGTCTCCTGGGGCCAGAGCTGCTGCTCCTTCTCCGAAGCTTTGTGCTTTCTGCTCCTGCAGTGCCAAACCACCGCTGCTGGCTCTGGTTTTCTCCTCAGCCCAAAGTGGCCTGTCCTCCTCCTCCCTGCCCGCTCATCTCTTCACTTGGCGGACCCTTACTCATCCTTAACACCAGGTAAGTTGTACCCTCTTCATCATTCCTCCCTGACCATCTTGTAAATGCTCCTATACTGCCCTGAGCTTATCCCCTATGTTATGGGTTGAATTCTGTTCCCAAAATTAGTACATTGAAGTCCTAACCCCAGAATCTCAGACTGACCTTATTTGGAAATAGAATCATTGCACATGCAATCAGTTAAGGTGAGGTCCTACTGGAGGAGAGTGGGCCCTAATCCAATATGACTGGTGTTCTCATAAAAAGGAGAAATTAGGACACAGACCCACACAGACCTGCAAAAGCACCATGGGAAGATAAAGCCAGAGAAGGGGTAATGCTTCCACAAGCCAAGGAACACCAGAGATGGCCCACAAACCTCCAAAAGTTGTAGGGGGCCTGGAACAGAGCCTTCCCTGGCAGCCCTTAGAAGGAACCTCTAGCCTGCAGAAATGGGAGACAATATACTCCTATTGTGAAGCCACCAGCATGTGGTACTCTGTGACAGCAGCCCTAGGAAATGGACACACCCATCATTGTGCTTCTGTGTTGTATTGTAATGACCTACCTGTCCATGTTCACCACTCCCCATTGTGAACTTCTTAAGGGCAGAAAAGGTGTCTTATTTATCCTTGTAGCTCTAGTGCCCAAAATAGTGTGCAAAACATGAAAAACTCAGTAAATGTTTGATGAATGAATTAATGAAAGCACAACATCCCCAGAAAGTCAGACAAATCACAGACTAACAAGTGTAACTGATTTGCCGTACCTCAGCACCCTACATTTCTTTGTTGAATCTGTCCATATCTTCCTGTCCTTTATGGGTGGGTGTGTTGGTTATTCTCCACTTGTCCTTCCAGAGGAATTTTCTGCTTATTTTCTGGCTATGGCTATCGTCTTCCGGGAAGCCATTTTGTAAGGTTCCAAATCTTGGTAGGTTCTGGCCACCCTGCTCTGTCCCTTTGTCCCTTCAAGCCTAAGGATGGCTAGGACTCCTCACTGTTACTAGTCCCAGGGGCTTCATTCCTTGGTGTCCTCTTAATTCTGCCCACTCCTATGCAAACAGTTTCTTCATTCAATGCTGGTGAGCCATCTGTTTCCTGCTGGGACCCTACAGTTGGTAGGCAGGTGGGTGGGGACAGAGATGATAACCATGGTTCAAAAATAATCACATTTTTAAAAATGATCTTCTAAATCCCATTGCTTAATTCCCTTCCACTTCTGTTTTTAAAGCACCACATACCTAGCATTTTTACATAAAGCCTGCTATTTGACCTATGCATTTGCTATGCATTTGACTAAACATAGAAAATGTTTCATTTAATTTGACATTTTGCTGAACACCTGTGATGGGCCAGGCACAGTGATGGGGATTGAGGATCTAAAGAGGAAAAGATCTCATGTCTGCTAAAAAAGACTCAGAATCCAGTAGGATGACAGACACACCACCAACAGAGCACAGGGTCTATGGGAGCAGTGTGGAGGGTGCTTTGACAGCCTTGGGGTGGGTCCCACAGATAAACCCTGAAATGTGGTTTATCTCCTTCCCAATCTAGACACCTTGGAGCTACACCGGTCCTTCTACTTTTATTGTTTTTCACAGAATCATCTTCACATTTTTTCATCAGAGAGATGCCTTCTGTCAGCCAAATGCTCATAGAACGCTCATTTAAGATGTTTTGGGGTCAAACTTCCACCTTATATTTTCTCTTTTCCCAACATGATAGGTCTCTTATGTTGGAAAAGACTTTATATGATCACTTGGACTAGTAATTGCTAATTTTCTGGATGGTTACCAGAGGGTTCTTTAAAAACAGTAAATCCTGAGCCTTGTTGCCATTCTATCGAATCAAAACCCAAAGGGAGGAGGGGGCTGGGGAGAAGGAGATCTAGGGGGTCAGGGTTTTTTTTTCAAGACCCTGTGATGATTCTGATATTCAGTCTGGTTGGGAACCATTGGTCTGGGTTAGCTCCTTTTTACAGCAACTATAATTTAGGACAGGGTTTTGTTTTTGTTTTTTTTTCTAAGAGTGGTTCCTTGGCACCTGAGTGTGTCATACTGGCATAAGGATAGACATATAGATCAGTAGAAAGAGTGCAGAAATCAGCCTTGATATTTACAGTGAATTGATTTTCTACAAGAGAGTCAGGACTATCTAAAGGGAACATTCTTTTCAACAAGTGGTGCTGGAATAATAGGTTGTTTATGTGCAACAGAATGAAATTGGACCCCTCCACCTCACATCATATAGAAAAATTAACTCAAAATGGATCAGTAACCTAAACATAAGAGCTAAAACTATACAACTCTTAGGAAAAATCACAGACATAAATCTTCGTGTCTGTGAATTAGGCAGTGGTTTCTTAGATATAATACAAAGTGCTCAAGAAACAAAAGAGAAATAGATAAATTGGACTTCACCAAAATTAAAAGCTCTTGTCCATCAAAAGACACTATCAAGAGAGTTAAAAGATAACTCACAGAATGAGATAAAATATTTGCAAATAATGTATCTGATATGAGACTAATATCCAGAATATATAAAGAGCACCTAAAACTCAGTAACAACAAAAAACCACACAACCCAGTTTTTAAAAAAAATGGGCAAAGCTTGAATAAACTTTTCTCCAAAGAAGATACACAAATGGACAATAAGCAGATGAAAAGATGTTCAACATAACTAGTCATTAAGAAAATGTATATCAAAATTAAGGAGGGATATTCCCTTCCCACCTACTAGGGTAGCTATAATGAAAGAGATGGACAATAACAAGTGCTAATGAGGATGCAAGGAAGTTGAAACCTTCATACATTGCTGGTGGGAATGCAAAATGTTTCAACTGCTGCAGAAGACAGTTTGAGTAGCTCCTCAAAAAGTTAAGCATAGAGTTACCAAATGACCTGGCAATTTCCACTCTCTTGGCTATATACCACTGAACTGGAAACACAAGTCCATACAAAAACTAACTCAAAATGTTCATATTAGCATTATTTATAATATCCAAAAAGTGGAAACAATCTAAATGTCTGTCACCTGATGAATGGATAAATAAAATGCAGTATAGATCCATACAATGAAGTATTATGCAGTCATAAAAAAGAATGATGCACTGATCCATGGTACAGCATGGATAAACCTTGACAACATTATGCTCGGTGAAAGAAGCAAGTCACAAAAGACCATATATTATATGATTCCATTACTAGGAAATATTCAGAATAGGCACATGCATGGAGACCAGAAAGCAGTTTAGTAGTTTCCAAGGACTGAGGGGAAGGAGCAATGGGAAGTGACTGTTAATGAATGTGAGTTTCTTCTTAGAGTGATAAAAATGTTCTGGAATTAGATAGTGGTGATGGTTGCATAACTTTGTGAATATACTAAAAACCACTGGATCATACACTTAAAAACGTGAATTTTATGAGATGAAATATATCTCGGTTTTTAAAAATGAATTAATTTTCTTCAAAATTACCTGGGCATTTGGGGCCTGGGGATCTGTGTTTGAAATAAGTCCCCAAGATGATTTTTAGGCACACTGAGATTGGAAAACCACAGCCATAACTATCTCCTTTGTATCACTTCATACCCTCTGAAAATTCTAAATATTTAAAATCTGTTGGGGGGAAAAAAGCTAAACAAAACAAACAAGTCAAAAATAGACAACCCAGGGCATAGAAAGTGACCATTCATTGAACAAATGTTTAACTGCTGCTTGCTGTGAAGCAGAGTAGGCTGGGCTCAGTGAGCTAGACACAAATCCCATTGTAAAAGCGTTAGAGTCCAGGAGGAAGGCAAACATGCAAACAAATGGTTGCAATACAACAAGACAACTGTGACGTCTGCTTCAATGGAGGTGTGTCCAGAGCAGAGCAAGGTTGATCAGGAGCTGCAAAGTCAGTTCAGTGGAGCCAAAGGATGAGGCAGTATTTGAATTGAGGCTCAAGAGCTGGAGACCAAGGAGGGTGGGAGAGAGTATGAGACACGGGCAGGAGGAACAGCAGGTGCAAAGCTACAGAGCTTTAGGAGTACTTGGTGTATTAAAGCAACTGCAAGAGGCTGAAACAAAATGCCCAAGGGGAGGAGGTGGGAGAGGAAGCAGAGATTTACATTTTGTGTGCATTGAGAAGCCACTGGAGAATTTAGAAAAACTCTGCACCACTCCTGATTTGGGAAGATGAGTCTGACGGCAGGGTTGGGGATTGGAGGACACCAGGTGGCTGGAAGGCTGGTGGGAAGACGGCTTTGTCTCAAGTGCTGAAGCTCCAGACTAGGACAGTAGAAGGGAGAGGAGGAGAGAGACTGATTCTATACCCGTTTAGGAAGAAGAGCATATAGTCCCTGGGGACAGACTGAATGCACCATAGTACCTTTAGCAGCACCCCCTGCCTCTACTCACTAGATAGGAGTAGCACTTCCCTGGGTTGTGAAAACAAAAATATCCCAGAGATTGTCTGGAGGGCAAAATCCAGGGGGACAGAATCTGTTCTAGTGGAGAACATTGGCCTAGATTAACTGAATCCTGCAGTGGAATATGGTCCCATTGCCTGCAAGGTGAACCTTTTGTGTGAGGTGCATTTGCGTGCCTACATGATAGGGAGCTGGGATTCCACTGAGCTCACAGATCTGCTTGTGTGACCCTTTTTGTACTTGTTTGCTAGTAAATGTCTCTGTGTGAGGCAGAATCTGATCTGAGGCTTGCTTTGATTATGAGGTTGTTAGGAGCAGACCTGTAGCCCTTCCCTTCCTCTAACAATTGGAAGATCCCATTAGTTACCAAATAGATCGTAATTGTGAACCACCAGCCTGACTTTGGTCAGTTTGTAGCTGAGTTGTCAAAGGTGATTTGTCATTTTCTGGCTGGACCAGTGATGCCATTCCTGAAACAGGGGATCCCACGGGAGTGCCTACGGCCAAGGGTAGGAGGGAGGATGCAGTGGAGCCAGCCCTGACATCAGGAACTTTTAGAACATACAGAATGGATTTCTTCTGGGTTTCCCCAGTGATTGGTTTACAAGA